ACAGGTTCCCCTATGTAGTAACATATATGTTACTACACAGACGGACTTATAAATTTGTGTGGTTTATATGTTTTAAAAATCTACAAAATAATGTTAATATTTTTTTTTGTTTTTGTATCAAAAATATCGCGCTGTAATTCAGGAAGAGTACTTCCAAGCGAAACAAAATAATCCAATAAATCCTCTAGACTTATAATACAAAGGGTGGTTTCCCCTAGAGAATCTCTTACTCACGCATTAGCTTTTCCACTATTACGCATTGAATGATTCATCAAAGCGATATCACTGTAGTACAGATACTTAATAAATTGGAAGTAAGTTTCTTACAAAATGTAATCAATCATAAGTAACTAAAATACTATATTGAAGCTTTATAATATGTAACAAAATATGCATCAGTAGAATAAAAAAGACTTGAATCCTTCCAAGAAACACTATTTCGTGAAGAGGCTCACTTTTTGGCATACGTGGTACAACGTATGATTATAATTTTAATTTCATTTTAAACAGTCTGGAGGTCTCATTCACTTATCGCTTTTATTTCTGTATAACAGCATATTTTGGAGATTCTTAAATGTTATTTTACAGTCATCGATAACTGATGTGCGTTGTCGGTATGGGTTTAAATGTAAATATAAACAAATTTAAATAGTGTTGTGTATTTTCATTATTTATCATTTATTTGAGCTTGTGACAATTGTAAAATATAATATTATAGACTGCAATACTATAGACACGAGTGAGATATCCTTGGTATCATGTTCTAGTGTTACAACAGCAATTAAATATTACAACAATAGTTTTTTTCATCAAATAATGAAGATTTTCGAGGTTATTTTAAAACGGTTTGGCAACAGGAATAATTTGTGAGTATCTAATTTAAAATAAGCTTTAGGTTTTATTTGTCAATAATTATATAATTTTTTAAGCCCAAGACGGCAGATGCGAAGGCTTATTTCACCTGGTTTACAAAACACCTTGTCAAAAGTTACTTTGCTGACTTTACCATTTTTGGTATCTGTACCGTTTCATGTTTGCCTTCTCTTGACCCTTACATTATCGCTTATTGACTACGTTAATGTTTTTATTTTTTTTATTTTTTATCATATTACTTATGTTAATATTAAATCATGTATATCGCAAAGCATATTTACCTATCCTATATAAAATTTTAGAATCTAATTGCGATTTCATAATTCAATTGATGTTTAAATTATACCTTAATTATATTACTTACTTATACCAATAAAACATTTGTTTAATTTTGTTTTTGTCGTTTTATAAGAAAAGTAAAATGATGCTGTAGTGGTTTTTACTATTAATATATGTTCTTACCTATTTATTCCATTAATACGCATAATTTATTAATATAATATCAAACAAAGGACCAAACTTAATAAATTATATTAAAATATCAATTACCAACTATATATGCCACATAAATGAAATTAAAAAAACAACACGAATGTAACCGTCTTTGTGTACCTACGCTTAATAGTGTAAAATATTTTCCACATATAAAATAGAAAGTAAACGTGGTTCAAGCCTAGTTATCCGGTAAACACATTCTTGCTTTTATTGTTTGTCACGTTTGTTACTTTTTTACACAACAATATTATATAGCGATATAAAGTTCTAATAGTATTAAAAAATTGTTACTAAGTGTATACATATGTTTTTAAACTTTACTATTTAATAACTATATTATATTTAGTTGACTAATAACAGTGAAATCTTATAAAAACGATGATTTTCTCTTGACTGGTTTTTATAATGTAACCAAAACATGATAAAGTCAAGGCACCCATAGGCGTTAGGCGAAAAATGAAAGTTTTTGTTCTATAGCAAGATAAATTGTCTGTTACCTAACGATGTATAGACGTATTATGCATATTATATAACAGTTATCTATAAAATAAATTCAAAATGTTCTTGAAAGTCACAAATCTCGTTAGTACGTTTAGTTTTTGCTGTTCTCTAACATGAGTCATTAAGTGATCTCGCAGTTTCCTGCTTCAAAACAACATTACTAAATTAAACACGCAGGCATTTTATAAACATATGTACACTTACGTAAAATTCTTAGGAATTATTAAGAAATGTTAAATGTAATAAATAAAACTAGTTATACGTATCTGTGATTTCCGAAATAAGGGATACCTACTCGTAAATCCGAATTACAGCTTTATTCGTCCTACGTAGGTTTGTATTTTCTTCCTTGGAAGTAAGTGGAGACGGGTCAATATTTACGTAGATGGCGAGGGGGATCGATTGGTTCCGGAACCCCTGTCCCCGAATAAGGGTGTAGTATAAGGTAACCTTTCATGCGGGGGAAACGTGACTCAGTACTATCACTATGCATGATCTAAGATTTGACATAATATTCCGATAAACAAAATTCATTACATTAGTTACAGTCAAGCCACGTTTGTAGAGCTATAGCGATAGACATCTGTCACTTTTGTATAGGTAATTAAAATAATAAAAAAGTTTAGTTATAACTGCTGTAATAATGGCAGGACTAAATGAGAACACCGCAAAGATTAGTGAATAACAATGTATCGAGAATAACAATAGAACGCCATAAGTTTCAACAAACTGCCTCGTTAGCTTAACAAAGCCGAGCCAAGCTGTAAAGCAAAGTAAAGCCCACACGATATCACTGCTCGCTTCACTTTTACCTGGATCTACACTTCCGATCTACTTTATTGTTGACCGAATCAATGCATTATCTGTGGTAATAGTATACCAATTGACAGAACAAACTGGCACATCTGACTGTTCCTGCGATTGTAGACTCTGTTCACTTTTGACTTATAAGCGGTACTAAAATACAAGTATTATAAATTCGAATGTGGGTGTGCAAGTGTGCGCACGTGGCGTGCGTGTGTGTTTGTCATATTATAACACTTCAACGGATTATAAGGCAAGCGGAACGGTGGACAAAAGTTAGTCTGTTATAAAATTATTTAAAAAAAAAATATGTACCTAAAGCCTACATTTAGAAATACTTTATTATTTAGGTGTAATATTTAAAAATTGGTAAATATTGTTACAAGCGTTATTTTCTGTTTATTAAATTACGCATTTCTTGTACGTACTTATATGTATATGGGGACAATAATATTTTAATGGGAACAAGGCTATTAATACTTAAGCGTTTACGTCCTGTACATAAAACGTCTGGTGACTCACAATAAAAGGGCTGCTCTAATAAATCATGACAGAGAGTAAGTAAATTAATAAATTGAGCTTCATATTTACACATGTCACATGCGATGTATTTATCACTTTCTACAACAGAATCACGTGCACGTATAACGTCATATCGATATTCATCATTATTAAATTACAGCTTTTTCAAAACGAGATAAGAAGCTGTCAAATAGCTCTAATCTTTAAACTTATTATGTTTATCTGATACTATTGTGAACGTTCATAAATCAAATATGTACGTAACAAAAGTAATTATTTGAATATTTTTAAATTTAAGTGCATCATAATATGATTAATTAGTGTGACATGAATTCACACTGTACACAAATATTTGATATTAGTGTTGCATTAGGTACGAGTAAATGGCTAACCTATACATACGTACATGATATTATATAAAATATTTAAAATAATATAATAGGTATTGGTTGCTTTAAATTTTCGATGCTATTTCGAACTCAAGTTGCCATTTAGGTAAATATGAGTTATCTAAACTTTGAAATGATTTATCGAATTCAATTTGTACGAAAAATGCTATTGATATATTATATACCTAACCTAGATAATTAGACTTATCAAAATGATCTTTTTTTATATTTTACTTCAAGCGAATGCTATCGCAGATTTTAGTCAGTTTTACACATAAATAACGTACCAGTTTAGGTTTCTGCATTGTACAATTTATTGCTGTATACGCGTTTTATTAATTTTGCCTTGATGATGCGTGTCTCATAAGAACATTCCATTTATCTAATAAGCCATTACTAAGCAAGCATATTGCCATATGCCGAGTTACATGTATAGGATACAAGAAAATCTCGTTCCTTATTGGAAGGTGGCCGGGCTCTCCCTTAGGGCTTAGGCTACGCTTATTTATATTAACTTATTATGAGCAGAAGTGACTAAGCCTTGTCGGTTGGCATACTTGCGGTTATTATTTAAGTTTTATTGCATTCATGATCGTGATCAAACCGCGGCCGACCTCGACAGCCTCAATTACGCCAATGAGGGACCGGCGCGGGCGCGGACGGGGCAATCATCTTAATTCGTCGTTGAAAAAGTCAAATTTTTCTAACGCTTATTTCTTTGTTAATGAAAAACTTCTTGGAAACGTCAATTTATATACTTAGGTACTATCAAAAACAATCAAAAGCAAATGTCAATATAGGTAGTTTGAGTTTACATGAATGAAAACTTAGCCTATTCATTAACTATTTAATATGTAGGTACAAAATATTTAAAAAAAATACATGTTTTGATCCAATACGAATAAAGTAGGTACTTAGTCAATGGATAAGTAAAATAATATATGAAATTAATATCAAACTGATCCAATCTAAAGAAATTTAATAGAACAAGAATAGGTAGGTAGGCATATTGATTGCTCATGCTAATATTAAAAATTATCACTAGATAATAAGTAATTCTTAACATTTAATCTCAACTGTATAAACAATTGCTACAGCAATAAATTGAATTGCAATAATGTCACGCCCAAATTATTAAGGTTGAAATACTTATATAGAATCTAGGTACTTTAAATTATTTTTGAATCTACCTACATTATACTCCAAAAAAATAAAATGGCTAATATTTTAGTTTTGGAGAAGAGCTCGCAATTCCCATAAAGTTGCATGAGAAAGAGGTACCTGTTAGAAGTAACAAAAGTTAAAATATAATCGTGTAAAGTGCTAACATTTAGTATTATCCTTTCTGACTAATCCACAAGAGATATTTTGGATATTTTGTTACTATATGCAAGGAATATAGGTATTTATATTTACCATTCGGGCGAAATTCTGTATACGTTTTGATCCGCATTTTCTTTTCCCAATGTATCCTTTATGAGTGTTCGATAAAAACGCACTATCTGTTTCCAGATTCCTTCATCACAATTCACTTAGCACTTGTGGCAAATCACTCACATTTTGCGTTTATTGATTTTGTTCAAAAAGGATACAAGTTACTAAGAAAATTTATTTAACAACCACTTTCCACATTGTTTTTGCACATAACAAACACAAGTAAAGACACTGGAATGAAATGTTTTTATTAATAGTAATAATAATAATTAATACCAGGGGCGTATAGACGTGCGTAAACTACGTTGTACCGCTTGATTTGACAGCTGCTAGTCGCGTAGCGCGCTATCCCGAAATTCCCTATTCGTATATTGGATATCTTGAACGCTTGAATGAGCGCGGCGCGAGTGAGCGCGGCGCGAGTGAGCGGGACGTAGAGTTATGAAGTTAGATACACATGTCAGGGGATGACAGCTGACGGGAAGAGTAAGAGGATAAAAATAGATCGGGATTAATTGAAGTATAGTACGACCAGCGCGCGGCAAAAACAAGTTTTCTTTAATATTCGCGGCACAAAGAAAATTTTAATTTGTAAAGCGTATAGCATTGAATGCAATACAATATCACTAGACACTTTCCATATTCAATGATGAATAAAGAAATGCCTTGAACAAATTAATTCGTTTTTAAAGTACGATCAAAATTAAAGTGTATAATATCAAAACAAGCAGTACAACACAAAAAAATTAACACTTAATTAATTATGTTATGTATACAAATTAATAATACTGACGTTGTTAATCGGATCTTGACTACACCACCGCCGTGTAATACGTCAAACGCGCAGGCGCAGTGCGCGTAACTGACGTACGCATGCTCACTAACTTCATTCCAGTCAACACTCAACATTGTCGCTACTTCTTGGCTCTTTCTTGCGAATTGCGGCAAAACTTAGTTTAGACTTTAGGGGTAGAAAAACAAAAGCGGTAAATTGTTAAGTTAATTGAAGTGTTAAGATTAAGTAAAAATAATTAGTTGAATATTTGAAGACAAGAAAAACAAACTTAAAAATAAGAAACAGTATATCTTTTTATTGCCATTCCATTTTGTATGTAGACTTAAAACATAGTTTATGTACAATAAAAGATCTCCGATGATAGATCTGATAATTACTTTACACTTTAGCTGTAAATATTCCAATATCGTTCTTAAAATTTGCTAAATAGAAAATTAAAGTATAAAAAGTGATGTTAGTTATATTATTCGCGATCTCATTTTTCCCAGTCGAAAACTTAACGGTACATTTAGCACTGTTGTCAGTAATGTGAGGCCAAGTGAATGACCTCGCAAAACAAGATATAAGTACATATAAAATATTATCGTAATCACTAATCATCCCTATAATTGAAAATTTTTCATTCTGATTTTGGTTTAAACCTTAATTGTCTATTTTTACTAATACCACCAATGATATGATATAATGTAATATTGAAAACCACATAAAATAACAAAGAGTTTAAAAAGGGAACTTATTCGTATCGAGAACCGTGGAAATAAATTGAAATAGGTTCTTTACTACTTAAACAGGAAAATTTAATTGCACATATGGAAATATATATATATATATATATATATATATATATATATATATATATATATATATATATATATATATTACAATTATTATTTTGTTACATTTTAATATTACGGTAACCATACAGTTTTATAAAAAGAACAATAACTTTTATGTAGGTTACGTTAAAAAATATTTAGGATAATGTAACTAACGCCATCTAGTGAGGAATTATAAAATACACACACTAGTAAACGACACGCTATCACATCGATCTGACAATGTATTTTAATTGATTGAAGCCAGATGTCGTTTGTTATGAAATTGAATATTTCCACGGGCTTCTTAAGTTACAACATTTATCAATCTTTGTAAACTGATACCGGCTATTGCAAATATTACATAATGATTTAAGATTTACATAAAACTGATAGACATAATTTGCTTATTCATATTTTGCTAGCTATTCCATCAAACCTATTGGCATTGTTAAAGATTCAGGCAATAGGTAGGTACTCAATTTGGCATGTTATATTTTAAATTATTATGTTATTATGTAGAGTAATCTTATGTTCATGATAGACGAACTTCATTCGTCTGATTCCAATAAAGATTTCAAAGTAGCTTTAATGTATTATGCATGTGCGTATAGACGGATTATAATTCCAATTAAATATAGGTATTACACATATAAACAGCTTCACTTATAGTCATGTTCATTACTAGAATTTACCTATTGTATCTTAATAGAATAAGGTTCAATTGTGATTGTGTAATAAATAATAGTTAAATAAATGCAGCTAAAATGTGTGAATGATGATTTAAAATACATAAAACTCTATACAATACCTTTGCTTATTTTCCGTTTTCGCGATCTATAAAGAAACAGATTTGTGTTCCCGGTGTGCTGCTGGCAATAGACACTAATTGCCAAGTCTATTATCTTGGCAAAAACGCACAACACTAGGCCTATCATCCTAACTGATTACAAAATTAGATTATCTCTTATCTAAGATGAGCTACACTGAAGGTCGTCTTTTTCTTTTCCTTAGGTTCAACTTCAACAATGAACTCTTTATTTTGTCTTTACTATATTGTCGTAAAAGTATTTTCACACATATTTTATGTAAAACTAATTGTACGTTCCACATCACCTTTACTGTCCCAGTAACAATAAACACTGCACCTTTTGTTTAACGTTCACGTTTATCCAGTAGTCAGAGTGCGAGTTTATCTGTAGGTTATCACGAACTTGATCTTACGAAGCGTTTAAAGTCAAGTCTATGACTGCGTAGATACATCTCTCATATCACTTAACGTTGCGGGGGACTTGAAGTCATTTCTAAATAGAGCTAAAAATGTGTACTTCGCGTGAAAAAACATAGTTTTAAAAAAATAGTAAATACGACGATTACACTGTTATATCTTATAATTAAACTTTAATTTCTCGGTTTAATTTCAGAGAGCACTGGTTTAGTTATTCGCTGAGTAAATATTATGCGAGTGTATATTGATTGAAGCAGTGCACTATATTAAACTAACAAGACTGTGATACCTTTGAAGGGCAGCTGTAATATGGCAATGCAACAGTTAAGGATAAAGTATTTGACGTAGCGGTAATCAGTATAGCCAGGTGGTACGTGCCATTTATAACGATGTGTTAGAGTGCATAGACCTCATATCTAGGGTGCTTCTTACTTGTCTCCCACAATAATAAAAGTGGAAGTTATTAAAAAGTTCAGCTTTCACTCTAAAAATAAAGCTGTGATTTTTTCTTATAAAATTCCGCTATAGGTATGTTTATTTAAGAATAATATTTTTAAATAACTATGTATTTTTTTAGTTAAAATTTATTTTTAGATTTGTTTTGCTATCCAATTTGGCTGTAATCTTTTCATAATACTTTGCTAATCATGAGAAAATTAAATATTAAACTAACACTAACTGTAAAAACTTCTACTATTAGGTATACATATAACATAATTTCTTTTTAATTAATAAATAATAGTACTAAAGTACATGTAAGAATACCAGACATTATAAATTATAATATAATACGGTGAAACCTTGGGCACTACATTTGTTCACGCTTGAACGTAGGTCTCAGAAGCGATATCGTGACGTCCGGAATAGAGTTGTACCTACCATTTTAATTAACTTTTATACAAAAGCGTTTCTCATAGGAATAGCACTTTCAAATTTAATGTATAAATAACAAACAAACCATTATAATTAACATCTATTTTCACCTTAATTAAAATTGTCTATTTGGCTATTCACTTATATTATCTAACAGAGTATAAAAAGTCAAAGAGCTTAGAAAATGACATACTTTAATTATAATCTTTTCAAAAATATGAAAGTTGCAAATAAATTGTTTTTGGTTTTCGCACAAATAATCACTCTTCCGAATTTTCGAATTATCAATTAAATTAGAACTAACAAATATTTTCTAAGAAATATGTGCTCTACATATTTACTTTTTATATTGCGTTGAGGACATGAATGAAATTGTTTAGGATTCCGGTAATGACTTAATGACTCTTAATACTAGTTTTTTTTTTACTTATTTTACTCTTACGTATTTTATTTAAGAGATTTATACTTTGTAGCATAAAGTTATATAAAAAGGACTTGACTTTAGGCTTGACAAATAAAATTAAATATATTTTTTATATAAACACTCACCCAGCATCCTATTCGCTTCTTTTTCAGTCATCGTCGTCCTCAACGTTTTTCATTGCGTATTTTCTGTAACAGGAATAATAATTATATATTAAATGTAAGCATTTAATTTGTTATTTTTATGGGATGTTTAATCTTTTACTTTATACAGTTCTTTGGACTCAACGATAAAGAAAATATTAAATTGAAAGCTTTTATCATTTAAGACTTTAATAAGAAACCCAGTATTATTATTTTTTGCGCTGAAAAGAATAACATTCTACACAATGTAGAATATGTATTGAACATTACCTTGGGGTGAACTGCTTTACTCGAATCGAAGAACGACGAATAGTAAGCACAAACAGTTAACACAGACACTGAACGAAAACCATAAAAAAGATTATTATACTATAACTTAATGTTTCATTCTATTTTTAACGAATTTTCACTAAAATTTAGTTCCATTTTGAATAAAGTGTGTAAAACATTGTAAAGATTTTTTGGGTTCTCGTAGAGGCATCTCTCTACGAGGGTTCGAAGGCGGATCGCGGAAATGCACGACTATCACCGAACGTTGCCAAATGCTAATTTCACACAGGAATGTATTTTGACTATGACCCCGTTAAATTTTATATTAATACAAAAAGTTTTTCAATAAATTGATTTTATATAAATAAAAAGGAAAACTTAACCAAAATGTCAATAATTGAAGCATACAATAAAACCACAAGTTTTTAAAATTTTCGATTCTAGCAAGAAAGTAGTGTAGTTTTTATACA